CCTGATAAGACTATCGGCTGATGCCACTTGGTGTGCAGCAGGAATTACCACACACATACACATGTCCCCACATTAGTGAGATATTATCCGTTTTGGGCCCAAGTCCTGATAGTTTTGCTTTTGGACATCACTCAAAAAGGTCTATCTACCAATGAAGATAATTGTGTGATATATCCTCTTGTTTAAATAATGTAGGACTATGTGGGCCTACCGAGCTTACTCACACTCTAACAGTGGGACACGCCTCCCTCGAGCTGATCACCTGATCAGACGATCGGCTCTGATACCACTTGTTGTGCACAATGAATTATCACACACATACACATGTCTTCATATTGGTGAGATATTATCCGTTTTGGGCCCAATCCTTTACGGTTTTGCTTTTGGACACTACCCAAAAGGCCTCTCTATCAATGGAGACAACTATGTGATATATCCTCTTGTTTAAATAATGTGGGACTATGTGGGCCCATTGAGCTCACTCACACTTTGATAGTGGGACACGCCTCCCTCGAGCTGATCACCTAATCAGACGATCGGCTCTGATACCACTTGTTGTGCACCAAGAATTACCACACACATACACATGTCTCCACATGATCGACTTTTATACCACTTGTTGTGCACCAGGAATTACCACACACATACACATGTCTTCATGTTGGTGAGATATTGTCCGCTTTGGACCTAAGTCTTTACGGTTTTGCTTTTGAACACCACCCAAAAGGTCTCTCTACCAATGGAGACAACTATGTGTATATAAACTCATGTCCATCCTCTTGTTTGAATGATGTGGGACTATGTTTGCATCCTAATATATATATATATATATATATATATATATAGTTACACAATAAAGGTAAACTTTTTTTATTATATCTTCTATTATTAAGTTAATTTCATGTAGTTTTATTAAATTATTTGAATAATTAATTAGTGAAAAGCACACTAAATTTATGACTTAAAAAATATTACTAATATTATTTTCTTGGTAAGAAGACAATTATTGCATAAGTGTACCTATTCCCTCTCTTTTATGTTAATCGAGACGCGAAGAATATGGACAAAGAGCCAAAGATGAATAGACTAGCGACCAATTTAGACTAGCTTAGCTTTCATGTTGTCCTTACTATAAACTTAGATAAAAGGTGATGAAAAATGTTTTTATTTATACCAGGTGATGAGAAATGTTACTAAACACTTTTTAGAACATTTTTATTGATTAGAAATTACAAAAATATGCAAGTCCAACTTATTTAATAAATTTTATTCATGATTTTGTAGTTTTTTTTTTCAAAATAAATTTATGAATTGATTAAAAAAAACAAGTGAGTTCCTAGCAGTCCTCTATAGTATTGTGGAGCAAAAATGGAAGTGCGAATAAAATTAAACCCTTGTCGTCATATTATTGATCTTTACCTTATATGATAGCAATAGCATTTATTTAGTGTTGGGTTGCTGAGTGCACTATGTACGTGGAAGGGGTGAGGGCTGGCTTCATCAATTTAGGATAAGAGACTTCATATATGCTGGTTTTGTGTAACTGTTGGATTGGTAATGCTTTTTCCTCAAAAAAGAAAAGAAAAGAAAATAAAATTTCGTGTTTTGAGGCGGTAGTAAGCACATGGGGTGTCACGTACAGCAAAAAATAAAATAAAAATGTAACATCACATACACATCAAGACCAAATTTATAAACGTGACAATATTGTACATGTGGTGGATGCATCAAAATCAGGTTTGTATTTTTCTTCTTTTTGATATTCTGGGTGAATTTTCTAAATTCTTAACGTGGTTATAATTAACGTGTAAAAAACAAAAAACAAAAAACAAAAATAAATGTTATGACAATTTCTACGGTGGTTTTGCCTAACTGTTCCATTGGTAACACTTTCTTCTAAAAAACCATGTTGAAGTCTTGCGTATGTACACTTCGTGTATTGGGGCAGTAGTAAGCACATGTGGTGATGTCCGTACCAAACGAAAACAACGTAACATCACATCGAGACCGAGTTAAACAACTTCACAATGTTGACATACACAGCGGTCGCATCGGAATTAAGGTTTTTTTTTTTTTTTTTTCTCATTTTGATTCATTATGAATTTTGAAATTCATATTGCGGTGGTAATGTATAAAAAAAACATACCACTTGTGTTTTTTAACAAAAAAAAGTTAGCGATCAATCTCTTACTTTTCTATGGAGTTATTGAAAGTATCATTTTTCCTTATAAAAGCTCAACTTGTTGAGAAAGGGTTATACCTCTTTACTATATATAATTTTAAATTTGATTAATTTTAAAAAAATTATATTATGAACAATAAGAATAATTTTAAAATATACAGTTGAATTAAAATAATTTATAATATTTTATTTAGAATAATATTTAAGGATAGAAATTAAGAGAAATTTTATTTTATA